TCTCAACGCGTTTTCAACTAACTTCTAGGGAAACCTAATTTATGGATTGCCTGATTGATTTGAAGAACACGCCTTGTAAAGGAACCATGATATGAGTAGATTAAGTTGGATAACTAAACTGATCTAATGTGAGAGAATGTTGAGATTGTAATTTTAAGAAGAGATTTTGAGGTTGTAAATGTAGAGATTGAGTACTTGTCATTAAAATTGTTGGATTGAATTAAAACTCTTGGAATTTTGAATTATTTAATGCAAAGTTAGATTTGGGAAACGTTTGCTTGTGATTCAAAGATTCCAATGACAAAATCCTTATTATTATTGGTTAAGGCTCAATTTTTATTTGTTCTATATAGAGCTTTGGCCAATAAATGTATGATATGATAATTGCCATCATAAATAGTTTCATACAGTGGCAATTGAACAAAAGAAACAAAAGCTTAGAACAGCTAACATTTAGCTTAGTATATGCAAGTCAACTAATAAACGGATGTTCCTCAGGAAAAAGGAATGGACGTCCGGTTAGCTTCCAAGCAAACAAGTGTGCAGTTCCGGATGATGTGAGCTTAGCAAAGTGAAAAGTTATATACCAAAAATGATTTCCAACGATAGAAGCTATTGGAAATGTAGCAGAATGGGACAAGGAAAGAAGATACGCTACACATGTGTGTAGAATGTGATGGCCCCTTGTGCATTGCAACACGCTTCTTACCTTTTCATGGCAAAAACAACTAGCATTAAATGCAATTTTCCTTATGGTGGTGAATGGTTTCTTTGGGAAGTATTCTTTCCGCGCCTAAAATTTAAATGTAAACATAAAATTCGGCAAAATAAAATATAAAAAAAAAACATGCAAGAAATTCTAAAGTGAAATAATTGACACACGAAAAGGTAATGTAAGGGCTTATATATATAGTCATATATATATTCGTCATCATTATATATATATATATATATATATATATATATATAGTCATATATATATTCGTCATCATCATATATATATATGAAATGATGACGAATTTGGGCGAAGATTGTTGTAGCGTGGCCGGTGTTGGTTTTTACATGTAGAATTGGTCGAGGGGGTAGCTATTTCTTGATAGAATACTTCTCCACTGTAAGTTTCATCTTTCTTTTATTGAACATCACCAATATATCAAGTGCAATCACATTAACATAATTTACGGAGTTTCACACACACTTTAGCAGAAGCAACACTTAGCAGCGACGCGGACACATTGATAACAAACAGACAAAGCACATAGAGAGAGAGAGAGATAGAGGAACCGACTGCTCCAAATTTTTTATACTGGCGGTGAACGTCGTACGACTCTTTTGTAACAGGAGTCGTGATTGGATGCAAATGCGCTCTTGCAATTAGATTAAGATTAAGATTATAACTGTCCTGTCTTGTGCCAAAGAATTAGAAAATAATTTAATGGAGTAAAGTTAAAGAGTTAGAAGAAGTCATTACACACACACACATATATATATATATATATCGATGACTTTGATCTCAGTGAATGCTGTGAAGTTTAGGGATGGAATATTGCTCTCCTTGGGTGTAGTTCGTTCTGTGTTCATTTTAGTGAATGACCATGATAATCCACAAAGAGCTGATCTGGTAGACGAATTTCTGTAAAGAAAAAAATATTCTCAAGATGGCTGAAACCAATAAGTTAAAACATCAAAATTTTTATTTTATGTATTAAATTAAAAAAAATATACTACTTTTTTTCTTTTGAAATCATGGCTCGTTTCCTTTATACTTACATAGATCAAAATGTGCTTTCAAGTGACATCATAGTCACGTGACTGTAATCACGTGTTCCCAGCCAATCAGTTCATAAATTCCAAATTCACCTTCCTCACTAAATATTAACTTTTTCCAGTCTTTCATAGTTTATAATGAACTTACTCAGGTCTTGCACATGCATTCACATTGTTATAAAATTTACATCAAAAACTCCATTGTTATAAAATTTGCAGTAAAACAAGCTTTCTGTTGAAAAATAAAATCCTGTGCAATATCCTGACTTCGCGTAAAACTATTATTCTCGGTTATCTAGATCTCTTCCAGTCCGCAAAATAATTTGTTTCAGAATACTTTTTCAATGTTCTCGCTATAGTAGAAAAGCCACATGGTACAACAAGAATTTGGTACGTAGAATAAAATTCTCCCTTCTAAAGTAATGTTTTGTATCTTTTTTATAAGGCAGAACAGCCAAAATTTACCCATAATTCATCATTCTATTCACACGCGAGAGGGCGCCAATTTGGAAATTTTTTAAAAAAGCGCTAATCATTGGCCGATTTTACACTGGTTGCCATTTTTCATATGCGTAGATTTTAACTACGTATTTCGGCTCATTTTAAATGTTATTCTTATTTTATCAAGATTTTAAATCATTAGATCGACCTATATATAGAAACTCACATATTCCGTGTTAATAACTTCTACTCTAAATGAAAACAAAAGTATGGTTTTATGTAGTTAAAACGTGAAATTCATGTTTGTAGTTTTTAACACGAATCAATGGTACTTTTCTGTTTCGCCAAGAAAGATACAACCAACGCCAAACGGATTATTCCCGCTGCTAACTTTTTACCACCACATTTTCAGAACAAGTGGTAGCCTTTTCTTATCAGTATTGTCTTTTTCATAATACATGAAAAATGGATGACAAGCCAATAGAAGCTAATATTGATTAATATTTTCTGTGTATATTGTGTGTTGTTGCCAATATCTGCAACTTGGCGAGATTTACGCCGGCGAAATAGAAAAGTACCGAATCAACATTACCACGCTAAAACATGAAACATTTTATCTAAGTAATTTCAAGAATATTCGAATATTATATACCTGTTAAGAACGATAAAATAACAGAAAATAAAACATTTTCGTCACCTAAACGTTTTAAATGACGCAATTAGTTTTAGCGTCTTGATATAATTGACGATTAGGAGGAAATAATTAATACGCACACAAAAAAAACGTAATTAATTCGTGTAACATAAAATTCCTCTATGAAAGCTGAGATCATTATTTTTCTCCCTGCAATTAATCTAAGAGTGAGAAAAAAAGGTGTCCTTTTTCTCGCAAGTATAATATCAGATATTGCGCTGAGCAAGGAAAATAAATATTAGTTTTTACTCTATCAATTCTTTTTAGTCACCTAATGAATTGAGAAAGGAATTATACGAGAGAAGAATTTATAGAATATTTCGGTTTTGATTAAAAGCTAGGAAATTTTTTGCTCCAAGATAGCGCATTTCAATCTGAGGTACGTGTACACTCATAGATGTATGAAAAAAGACAAAAAGAAGCAATGAAAGACACTGATATATAGATTAAAAATGAGAAAGATACTTTTTATATAGTATTGTAAAAAGATCTTAATGAGGATTTGTCGTCCCAATTTTCATTTCTCGTATTCTTTTGTTAGTATGATGGCATGACTTCCTGTTCAGAACAGTTATTTTGCTTCATTCCTTTTCTGAATATTTTTTACGGTGAAATAATTCTTCAATGAAATGACTAAAATGAAAATATTAAACAATTCTTTTGTTTTCCAATTATCGTACCACAAAATTTCCAATTGTTCTTTGGTAGAATGTTCTATAGTTAATTTTGCGGTCGTATGTAACGAATTTTAGTAAGGACGACAACACTTTTTTGTCTATATTTTCATTTTTACCATCATTATGTGATTTTAATAAATTCCTAGCTTTCAAATTGAATGGTTCTATAGTTATATATTTTTGTAAAAAATAGAATTATATATAGATGAATATCATCCCCCCAACGTACATACTTATTACATAACTAGTAAAAATGAAAATGTTTCTGCATTTTAATGTTATTATTTTACCTTAACATATATCATAAGTAACTATACATAATTGGAAGACAGGGTACATGAGATAGTCATAGTCAGTCAAAGGTTATGCGATGAAAATAGGTTAATTAATGATGATTTTGGAAATGGAGGTAAACCATAAAATAATTTCCTTATAATTATTTGAGAATGTAATATGCACATAAGGAGCACTTGCAAGTTTCGATTTTATTTTTTAATTCCTACTATTAGTTTAATCATACTATTAGTATATATTAATACTAGTAATTCCTACTATATTAGTATATATATATTATTCTTTCTATAGTTTTAAATACCCCCGATTTCTAGTTTTAGATAAAAATACTTTTTTAAAATTTATTATAACTTTTAAATCATATTATCTTAGAGTCTCTACGATAATGGTAGTATGCTTACAATTCTTATTTTATTATTTCTATTCTTTTCATACTTTTGCTAAGTGCTATTTTTCAGCCATTGCTTTGTTTTGAAATTGTATTTGGGTCCAGAATCTGGCAATAGCTTGTTTATTGTACTCAGATTTAGCGCGGACTCTGCATTTCTGTATGCAATTTTTAGGTAAGTTACCTTTTTTTCATAATGGATTTAGATTTCCTATCCATTATTTCCAATTGGTTTATGCTCGGTATTATTAACAGAAAGGGGGAAGGTTGGCTGGCCAAAAAACATGTTGAACCCCACTTTTATACGGAGAAATTTTTTAAGAGGAATTTTTTTGTATACACGCTGTCCTAAGTCAGTAATGTTGATAATACTGTAGCATCCATTCTTTTATATTTTTATATTTTACTCTGTTATTTCAATTTTTTCATATCTCCTTTTAAATTCTGTTGCCTGGTTATCTTGCAATTGCAATTCTTTTAAGTAATAATCATGTTAATTCATCTCTCTCTTGTAGAGATATTTGATTATATATATATATATATCAATTTTAAATAATAAAATACTTTCTATTCATCCATTCAAGTTCAAATAAATTTTTTGAAATTGTAGTGGATGACACTTGATGTTAATACAGTTTTTTCATATATTAATTCATTAATTAAATTAAAAAGTGAATAAATAGTAACAAGGAAAAATAATAGTCCAGTGGTATATATAGAAAGCAAAAACGTTCGTTGTGTCTCCGTAGCGCAATGGGTAGCGCGTTGAACTACTAATCCGAAGTTCGTGGGTTTGAATCCCACCCGGGATGACCTAGTTTCTGCGAAAGTGATTTCTTTTTTTTTATTATACTATTTTATTAGAATAAGTAAATTTAATTATTGAATAGAGTAACAAATAAAAAAAGTAGTCCAACACCATGCGGCCGCGGTGGCCGAGTGGTCTAGGCATCGGATCATGGCTAGCGTGTCATGAGTTCGATCCTAGTACCACTAAAGATCCGCCGTGTAGGGGAGCGATGCACGTTAAATCTGTCGAGAGCTCAAACGTCCTCCCGTTGGTGTGGTGTGGTAGTTAGGAGAGGGGGTGTCAGCTCAGGTGTCGTCCGCGTCACTTGACCATGGTTCAAAATTACGCGGACCGTCGCCAAAAAGCCCTCGTGTTGCTAATCAGTGCGACGTTAATATTCTCTCACTCAGTCCAACACCATATATAGCTAGGAAAATGGAAAATTGCAAGAAAAATCGCTAGAGCTATTTTGTCACTTAATATTGTGATTCTGTCATATGTATGCACATATTTGCATTAATTGTGACTATTTAATAAAAAGTAACTAAAGTAAAATTTTTCTTTGTTGACCTAAGTAGGAATTGACTTAAAGAAATTTTGTTTCATATTACTTGTTTATATTAAAAATGCATGTTAAACACTGCAATATATGAGAGTAATTAATCCAAACAATATTTATATTCATTAATGCATACTAAGGATTAAAACTTATTTTAATTAATCAATTTAAGAAAATACTTTCTACTATCTTGTTCTTATATGGTATATATTGATTTAAGATTATAAAATTAAGTGAAAAAATTTACATCTTGAAAATTACATCTAATTTATTGCAGAAATATTTAAACGTATTCATAAAATATTCAGTTTGAAAATTGCATAGTTATATTGTATAAAACATTATTTCACTATTGTGTTAGAGAAATCAACGAGACAAATTTTTAACAAAAATCTATTTTGTAACACAAAAAAGAATCTTATAATTTTATTAAAAATTAATAACCCTGAAGTAGATAAAAAATATCAACTTAAAATCATGGAAAATATAAACGAAGAATTCTCCTCACACGTAATTTTTGAGAAGTCATACATAATACATTCCAGTCTATTACAAGTTGATATTTTCTATTAAATTAAACACACACACAGACTTTTCCCTTTTCTCTATCTATTCAATTGATTTCTATAGCAATAAGAGTAATTTCAGAAATATTAATCTGCATTTATTGTTATTATGGAAAGGGAAATATACAGGTAAACACAAATGATGAAAATTTTATTCTCTATTTTTAACTTACAAATAATTGTGATAAAACTTTTAAATTAAGCTAACTTCTTTCTAACATTTTCCTAAACTCAAATATATAGCGCAGATTAACAAAATAAGATATCTTACTATTAATATACATTGCATTTGAAAGCAACGTGAGAAATTAATGCTATTTAACATTTATTTTCTAGGTCCTTAGATCCTTTCTTATATTACAAAAGAAATGATTGATAAAAAAATAAAGATAGTAATACTTTCGAAAGATACGGTTATCTTAGTAAATAAAACAGATAACATTTATATAAGAATCATTTTTTTCTTCTTTTAATAACTGGATTAATTTTAGCAAAATTTAAATGCATGTTTATCCGTTTCTGTAGATGTTACATGAAATTTACATAATTTTTTTTAAAATTGAAGTCTGGTTATGGTAATTCTTTTTATTATATTTATCTTTATTATCAATATCATTATTAAAATAAATATCATTTCCTGTCTGTTTATGCTTTTATCCTTTTAATACTGAGCTTCTCTACGAAACTTTAAATTGCTTTAAACTTAAATGCGATTGACTATCTATTAATTCCTTAAATAGCTGCACTTAACGATAAAGGTAAACTAAAGATGAGTATTCCACGGTTCTGTCCGTCAAAAAGTATTCTTATTATCTTATAAGAAATGATTTCCTTAAGTATTTGAAACATACTTTAGGAATGTTATGTCCATTGAAAAAAATTGCTTAAAATAATATATTTTGCGTAGATAAGAAACTTCGATGGATAAGAAAATCTTATGGATGGATAAGAATACTTTAGTATTAATGAATTGAAAGGCGAAACTGTTTGTATTATAAATAAATAAATAGAGAATTTCTTAGAAATTGAGAAAATCCTTAAAAACACTTGTAAGCATATAATCTTTGTTGAGAAAGGAAGGTATAGCTTGCTTATAAATTGAAAAGGCGATAATTTTATGGAGTTAATAATTGAAGAAAATAATCCATACATACATTTTTCATCGTATCTATTATTTCTGTAACTTTTAGGAGGTATGTATTGGGATGTATAAATGATGGAAGAAAGCGATCACAATACTAAAGCATAATAAACACAAAACACAAATTATTATATTTTAGTATTTTTGTATCTCGATATCCTTTTATTTATCGGCTCAATATTCTTTTCTGTAATTTTTATTTTTTCATAGCAGTGTACATAATTATTTTTTAGTTTTTTTTCTTTTATTTTTTTAAAATTGTAAAACACACACACACAGTTCTAAAAGCTAGGCTCAGCTGTCTTTCTCGTCATTTAACCATAGTTCAAAATTAAGAGGTCCAACGCCATTAGCCCTCGTGTTGCCTTAGAGTGTGCTTTTAATAAAATCTCACTGTAAAGAAAATAATTAAATTTTTTAAAAAAATTGTTGCTTGAAAAGCCTGAAATTTGTAGTACATTAGTTACAAATCAAACTTCAAAAAAATTACCTGATTATAACTCTTAAAAAATTGTTGCACCCATAACAAGGTAAAAAAGACCAAACGTTGGCTTTGACAAAAAAAATTTTACATTACATAAAAATGAATAGAAAGAGCACACTTCTGTGAGAATCTGAAGCAGACTCTTCTCAATCCAAAGAGCAAGCTTTTTTTAATCACGATCCCTGTACTTGGATTATTGATTAATATTATTTGGCTATGGGTAATTGGTTAATAAAAAATTAATCAACAAAATACAGGTTGTTATAGATTACATTAAGGCTGTTTGAAATTTCAGACTTGGATTAAAGATAGAAATTGTTATTTAATCGAGTACAAAAAACCCTTCAGACTATTAAAAATGTTTCTATAGGCATAAATGAAAATTTTCTTAAGATTTTGTTAAAAAGATTTTGAATGCTATGAAAAAATACAGATTTCTATTGAATTTAAAGTAAGACTTTTTACAATGTTCCCAAACAAAAATTTATCTGAACATCTCTTTTCATATATTATAGTAAGTAACTGAAACTTCCAAAAGAACCTCGAAGGAGCTATTTTTTTTTCCGTAAGCCTCGTTGAAGAATAAATTATGCATAGTTTTCACTTTCCACAAAAACCATCAAATGTCTAATAGCGAAGTGATTTTTCCCCCAGGGTATCGTGAAATATCTTAGAATTGAATTGGCATTTTTTGCTAACTACACACAAAAAAAAAATGCTTTCCTTACTATTCAGTCTTTGACTTTTTTTTTTGAAGAAAACTTTGGGAAAAAAGTAATCTGTTTTTTGATGATGTAAAAAAAATTTAATCTGAATTTTTTGTAAGAGGACAAATAATTTATTGAATGTGGTTACTTTTTCGTAATAAGAGCAATGATTAGTTTTTAAAAATTTTTTGAACGGGATGGAGCTTATTTTTTATACTTGTCATTCACAAATTGAAAAAATGAAAGAGAGTTTGAGAGAGAAAAAATTAGAGGAATTTTATACTGAATAATGGAGTCAAAAATAAATTTTAAGTCTTTTGAAGCTAATTTTGCAGAATATATTTTCTTGTTTAGAAGTACTTGAATGCCATGAAACTTAGCACAAATAAAACCTTTATGAATCCTTTCGCGGCCTTTGGGAAGATTACTACCCATCTACATGATCTTACAAAATACACCTGTGGGAAGCACAAAAACCACTATAATATATTGGATTTGCTATTATAACGGTGGGAACACTAATTCCCATACGAATGTTTAATTTTCTTAATAATTTTGTCATCAGAAATAGTTTCATACCGTGGCAAGTGAACAAAAGAAACAGGAGTTTAGACCAGCTAATATTCCGTATAGCATTAGCTAGTCATATTCCTGAAGAAAAAGAAAAAAGACGTCCTGTGCACTAGCTTCCAATCAAAGAAGTGTGTGGTTCTGGATGATGTGCGCTTAGGCAATGGGGGAATGGTTTAGGCGATGTAGGAAATGTCTCAAAAAGAGACAAGAAAAGAGGCCCCGCTACATGGTTACAGAATGTGATATCCCCTTATGCATTGAAAAAGCTTCTCATCTTTTCATAGCAAATAATTAGCATTAAATTTAATTTTCTTTATGGTTCTTTGGGAAGTATTCTTCCCACCTCTAAAATTAAAATGTAAACATAAAATTCAGCAAAATAAAATTATTTAATCGTTAATAAAACATAAAAAAGGAGAAATAAATGGTCAAAGAAAGGGTTAAATACTTTCAATAAATTTCCACACGCTTCTGTAGCATTTTTCTATGCTTGAATTTATAGAAAGTACAGTAGTGTGTGTGTGTGTGTAAGTAAATTTATCAGTAGCTATGGATACCTGATCTCTCTCGCTCTCTCTCTCACTTTTCACATAATACTAACTTGAATCATCTAAGTTTAAGTTCTTTTGCTAGGTTAGTACCTAAGATTCCTTGATAAAAAAACCATGTATGAGTCAAATAAGTATGCGTATACTTGATGAAACTTTTTGTAACCAAAATGAACAGAATTTTTCTGTACACCTTATAGTATTCTCGAATATAGTAGTATCCCTTAGAAGTATTCCGAGATCAAGATCTGATCATATCATGCAGTAACCTGTCTATTTCCATAATTTAAAAACATCTGTACTACGCTATATCCACAGGGTACGTTAAGAGACTTGGGATCAGCAGGTCATCAACAAACTACATTACATTCATCCTTCCATTACTCATTGGACAGCGGTATCAATACGTAGACCTGATGTCCGCTTGACTCGACTTTGTATAGG